CCTGGCACTGACACAGCCAGGACCCAGTGCCAGTGCAGTTAGGTGTGTGGCACCTCAGTTGTTCTCTGGCCCCTTCACTGGAACTTGGTAAAGAAAAACAGTCCTCTAGTTGCTTGCCAGTCTGTCTGCCCCGCGCACCCCCCGGGGCTGAGGCTGTGGCCGGGGGGCTGCGAGGGCCTGTGCTCATGGGGTTTCGTTCCAGGAGCAGATGGAGTCTGACAACTGCTCGGGAGGAGATGATGACTGGACTCATTTATCTTCAAAGGAAGTGGACCCGTCGACAGGCGAACTCCAGTCTCTACAGATGCCCGAGTCCGAAGGGCCAAGCTCTCTGGACCCTTCCCAGGAGGGACCCACGGGGCTGAAGGAAGCTGCGGTGTACCCACACCTGCCGCCAGGCAAGTGGCTGTTCTGCCTCTTTATTCAGAGATCCGATCCGCTGTCTGCGCCACACAGACATCCTGTTCTCTGCTGTGGGCTTGTCTGTTGACACGACAGGAAATTAGTTGGTTTTGTCCGCTGTGTCTATACTGAGCCCCCCGTAAGCGCAGCTGATTTTAGTAGCTTCTGAAACGTAACATCTGGACCCGAGATTCTGTAGCGGCGGTCCTGGTTCTGGCTTCGGGCTCCGCCTCCTCATGGAGAGTGCGGCCTAACAGGGCCCAGCCAAGGCTCCTGTGGGAGCAGGCGGGGAGCCGCAGGGGGGGCGGGGGCACATGGTAGCCGCGGAGTAGGGCAGCCGGTGTCTGCTCGTTCATCGCTGTCACATGCAGTGTTGTTGAGACGATACTTAAGAGGAAACCCCTAGGGCCAGCTGTGGTATCAGATACCCTGGTGTGTATCTTCTCTGCCTAGAGCAAGGGAGACAAACTACAGCCTATGGGCCAAGAATGATTTTTTAAAAATTCTCACGTGTTTTTATGATTTTTTGGAGAGGAAGTGGGGTGGGTCGGGAGAGAAACATCAGCTGCCTCCAGTACACATCCAGCCTGGGGCTCGAACCTGCAAGCTAGGTCTGTATGTGCCCTGACCAGGACTCAAACCTGCAGCCTTTTTGATGAATGGGATGACGCTCCAATCAACTGAGCCACCGACCAGGGCAATTTCCTCACCTTTATAATAGTTGTCTAAGAAGTTAACACCTGTGGCCCTCGCCCTGGCTGGTTTTGCTCAGTGGATAGAGCAACGGCCTGTGGACTGAGATCCCGGGTCCGATTCCAGTCAAGGGCACATGCCCAGGTTGCAGGCTCAATCCCCAGTGTGGGGTGTGCAGGAGGCAACCAGTCAATGATTCTCATAACTGATGTTTCTAACTCTTCCCTCTCCCTTCCTCTCTGAAATCAATTTAAAAAAGACCTGTGGCCCTGGTCAGTGTGTCTCAGTTGGTTGGGTGTCATCCCATGCACCAAAAGGTTGCCAGTTCACTTCTGGTTAGGGCACATGGTTGGGTTGCGGTCCAATCCCAGGTGGGAGGCGTGCAGGAGGCAGCTAATCGATGTTTCTTCCTCTCCTTTCCTGTCTAAAACTCTATTTAAAAAAAAAATGAGGCCTCACTTTTAGTCTATTTCCCTTCCTCATTAAAAAGTCAAGACCTGTGAAAATCAGATGAAATTCCCATTTCGGTGTCCATAAATAACAAGTTTATGTAAACACAGCACTCACTTGTTTAGATGGTGTCTGGCTGCTTTTATGTAATGGCATTTATGATGTAATGGCAGAATGGCGTGGTCGTGACAGACCAATAGCCTGCAAAGCAGCTGAAAAGCTTGCCCATCCCTGGCCTGGAGTGTGCCTGAGGGCCGGAGAGCCTGGGAGGGCCACGCCCTGCAGGCACTGTGCCTCGCTGGATGGAGGAGCTGCTGCTGCCTGCGGGCTACACTTGGGGCCCAGCACCTCCCCCTCATGGCTTTTATTCTCTCTGGCAGAAGCTGACCCCCGGCTCATTGAGTCCCTCTCCCAGATGCTGTCCATGGGGTTCTCTGATGAAGGCGGCTGGCTCACCAGGCTCCTACAGACCAAGAATTACGACATTGGGGCTGCCCTGGACACCATCCAGTACTCAAAGCATCCACCGCCCTTGTGACAGCTGTGCTCACCTGCTATCTGACCCCTTTCTTGTCTCACAGTTGAGTTGAGCTTGTTAGAACCCCACGCCTAAGGGCCAGTTACTCTGCATTTTTCTTTTAGAACCTGGTGGGATGCATGAAGCCGTTTAGGGCAGCAGGACAAGGACAGGAGGGCGTTCCCAGTGTTGTGACGATGACTAAGGGGGCTTCCCAGTTTCCCTCGGTGCCCACTTAGTGCAGCCAGGGCGAGCCCCTCATCTCCCTGCCCTCTGCCCACCAGGGTATCACCAACAGCCCAGAATCCATCTTGCCTCATGGTCGTCTGGTTTTTTTTTAAATGACTAATAGTAACTGATGTGTAGCTGATTTTCTGCTAGAACCTGATATATTCAGAGTTCAGCTGCAACAGCCACCATCACGTCAGAAGGAGGTGGTTGTCCTGTAGCCAGAACAGGAGGGCAGACAGTCGGCAGGCCTCTCGCGGGCACAGGAGTGGCTGCAGGCACCCCCAGTGGTCACTGAGCACTGCCCGTTTCACAACCATTCTAGTTCTCTCATTTCCAAATGTGTCGCCTGCTTTTAAAGTGAGAGGATCCTTTGTAGCCATTCTGTTAGCATATCTGTAAACCAACTGCAATTAAATGGTGTAAGCACTTTTAATCCAAGATGTTGCAATAAGAGATGATCCATTTGAGAGTCATGTTTATTGTCGGTTCTTAGTTCCCATAAATCCTCAGCCCTAATTAAAGCCCTCAGGGATCCCTGTTCAGGGACACAGGTCTAGGGGAGGAGGGCTCAGGTACCTAACATCTGCATAACAACATACTGGTCTCGGCTCACAGAACATCATCAAAGTCCTCACCAGTGTTAAAGAGGTCACACAGTCGCACGGGTCGGGGCTCCTGTGCCCCTTTGACCAAGTGCCCACCCTCTGCCTGAGGGCCTGCACCCCACTGCTCAGGGGTCTCCCCGAAGGGCCTCCTGGGCCCAGATGTAGGAGTGTGTGTGGCCCAAGGAAGCTGGAGCGGACTGGGTGTCCTGAGGCCCCCGTCTTTTGTAGTTTGAGCCCTGGGGAACCCCTGCTCAGCCTGTGCTGCCCCCGCTGGCCTGGGGTCCCTCTGCAGGGGTGTTGGGGGCCCTGTGTCCACACGTGAGCTTCCAAGTGGCAAAAGAAATCGTTCCCACTTAGACGTGGCCCTGACCCGCTGGGCAGGACATAGTGGTTCCCCCCAAGGGCCAGTGAGCTGGCTGGCGTCCCAGTCCTCACGCCTGCTTCCTTCTCTCACCTCCCCTGCTGGGCCAGCGTGGTCCTGCAATGGAGACAAAAGCAGGAGAGGGCCGTGTTCGCCTTCAGAGCGAGGGCCAGTGGTCCGGCCCGACCAGGGAGCAGGAAGAGCAAGGTCCCTGGGCCTGGATTCTGGCCTCTGCTCTGTGCTGTCTACTAGCTGGTTGCCAGGCTGCAGCCTAGGGACAGCCTTTGATTGTGAGGGTTACTAGCACAGAGTGAATGCCGGTCACCTCACTCCAAGTCCTCTGCCAAGTCCATGACCAGGATTCCCAAAAAGGAAGACAGGCGATCAGGCACTCGTTTCATGGGGACCTTAGGATCAGGAAAGGGGGTGCCTGAGAGGAGGGGCGAGTGGGGAGAGACCAGGGAGCCAGGTGCAGAGCGACGCTGACTCCATCCTGCCTGCTCCTGGCCAGGCAGGCAGGAAGGCCCAGGACCCAGAACCGGGCTGAGGGGTCTGAGCTGTGGAAGTGGCTGCTCAGAGGCGCACTCCTGGGGGAGACGGTGGGGCTGGGGCCTGGCCTTCCCTCCCTCAGGGACCAGACGCATGAAAAGTGGGTTCCACCACACAATGACAGGCAGGTCCCAGCCACCCCCCCCCCCCCCAGGGGGTAGGGGGGGGGGGCGAAGGCGCGGGCCTGCTGCACTGCCTGCTCTGCCCAACTTGCTGTCACTCACTGAGCCTTCGCTAGCCCAGCTCCTCGTGTTTGAACAGGCCTGTGGTGAACAATACACACTCCGTTAGCATATTTAGCCCGGGGACGGCCACGTCAGTAACTGTCACGAACAGCGGTCTGTAATTGGGAGATTCGGGGCCACATCCTTAAGTGGGTCACACAGCCAGTGCCTCTAGGCTTTGAGCCGGTGCTCTACGCCACCACCTGGCGTGGCCAGGCCAGCCTTGGCCCCTGCGGGGGCGGCCATGCCAGACGCCCAGCAGTTTCTCTGCCTGGGCTCCCGTGGCTCTCAGGACAGCGTAAAGTAAGCCTGCGTTCTGGTGCCCTGAGTGCAGGGGGTCTGCTGGTTTGGAGCATCAGGAACGAGAGCAAATCCTGGGGGCGAGGGTGCCTCGGTGCACGAAGGGGAGGGTGGAACAGTCCCTCAGGCCCAGGGTAGGGCGTGCTGGACAGTCTGCTGAAGGCACTCCACACACAACCGAGAACGGTTCTCTGCTGGTCAACCTCGGCTGCCTCTCAGGCATCAAAATGCCCTCGACGCCCTGGCTGGTGTGGCTCAGTGGATAGAGCGTCGGCCTGCGGACTGAAGGGTCCCGGGTTGCAGGCTCGGTCCCCAGTAGGGGGTGTGCAGGAGGCAGCCGATCATGATTCCCATGGTTGATCTTTCTCTATCCCTCTCTCTTCCTCTCTGAAATCAATACAAATACATTTTAAAAAATGCCTTGACCAGGAGGTGACACTGAGGATGAGCACGACAGGGAAGCGGCACAGGCCAGAGGGAGGCGGTGCTTCAGACAGACAGTCTCACTCCCGTTGTCGACAAAGCAAGACGATTAAAACAGTCACTGGGGCCAGAGAGAAAATGTCCCCTCATCATTGCCTTCTGGGGTCTGAGATGACCTCCGAGTCCCCTCCACCTGGCCATCGGGGCTGCATGGAGGACACAGTGCTCTGGCTCCATCTCCTGGCAGGGAAAGTGCCATCAAGAATACAGTCCTGCCTGGCCAGTGTCGCTCAGTGGATAGAGCGTCGGCCTGCGGATTGAAGGGTCCTGGATCCGACTCTGGTCAAGGCTCCTCCCCGGCCTGCACTCTGGTCAGGGCATGTGCAGGAGGCAACCAATCAATGTGTTTCTCTCTGTCTTTCCCTCTCTCTTCCACTCTCCCTAAAAATCAATGGAGAAATATCCTTGGGTGAGGATTAACAAAACAAAACAAAGAATCCAGTCCTGCTGGGCCGGTGTGGCTCAGTGGTTGAATGTCAACTTATGAACCAGGAGGTCATGATTCGATTCCCAGTTCAGGGCACATTCGAGGGTTGCGGGCTCCATCCCAAGGGGGTGTGCAGGAGGCAGCCCATGGATGTTTCTCTCTCTCTTTCTTTAAAAATCAATAAAAATATTTAAACACACACACATTATGCTTTAAAAAAAGAATCCATCCTATCACCGTGTCACCTGGTCTGATGCCCACGCAGGTAGGAACCTGTCATCCGCCATTGCTTCCTCAGGACTGCTGAGCTCCGCCCCACGGCCAGTAAGACCCCCCAGCACAGCCCAGGCAGCGTTTCTCGGCTCCTGGCTTGTTGCTACAAAGTCCTTATTTTGACCTGAAATCTATCTCACTAGCCCCCGCCCCTGAAGAGGCACCGTGGCACTCCGCCTACCATGGCACCTCGGCTAGATCATGGCGTCACCCTGCCTATCACTCAAGCTCACCCCCTTGGAGCACCTACTTCACAGGCACCGGACAGAACTGGGTGTGAGCCCCACGGCCAGGCTCAGGCTGGAGAGGGGGACTCGGAACCTCGGGCTCTTTAGCACAGCGTCCTCTCCCTCCCTGGTGTGCCCCGAGCGCGAGGGACGGGCGAGAGGCGCAGGGGGTGAAGTACAAGCTAAGCACAGAGCAGTTCTCCAAGCAGACAGAGGAGAGAGTGTTGTAATTATCTGTATACAGAGCGGTGTCTCCCTTACAAAGGGGACAGGTTTATTCCTTTTTGTGTTCCCTGTAGCTTTAAGCCAAGTGCCTGCCATTCAGTCGCATCAACAGGCATTTACAGAGCAAACAGAGAAGTGGCACCTGGGTGCTGCTGGCTTACCTGCGGACCCACATGCTCAGCCTGCCCAGGGCCTGCGTTTTCCTTGTCAGCATTTACAGGTTCTTCCAGAGACCTTAGGGGAGATGGCACAGACATCCTTGTAAAAGGACCAGGAAGCTGGAGGACAGGAAGCTGCAAGGACTGGACAATGAGCATCAACCAGACTTCGAGGGAACGCTAGCACCTCAGCTCCGCTGTTCTGATGTGACTCAGTAATCTCCTAGCCTGGCAGTTCACAAGGCCTGGTAAAAGGACCATTTCATCCTCGGATTTAGGCTGGCAGGGCCCTCCGTCAACAGGAAAAGTGACAGAGAGGGGGCAGACGCCTAACCCAGAGACCACAGTTCGCGTCCTGGCTTTGCTAATGACTGGCTGTCATCATGATGGTGCGACTTTGGGTTCATTACCGTTTGCTCATCCGAAGTGGGTACTACTGCTCAGGTGACTGTGAAGATAAATGAGACATGTATGCACATGCCCTGCCTGGGGCCCGGGACACGGAGACCAATACCCTCGGGACTCCTGTGGCACAGGGTCCCTCCCCAGCAATGGAGACGTGCCCATTACACGGGTCTTTACCACTGTGTGCGTCTCAACCACTACAAAGAGAAGGCACTGAGCTCGCAGTGTCCCAGGGCACCAGGCTCTCACACAGAGGAGAGCGAGGAGCCGTTCTCCGAGCCCCGAGGGGGGCTGACGTCCAGGGGAATCTATTGTGCGAGGGCAGGAGGGAGAGCCGGCACCACATCCACCCAGGTCAGCCAGGGCTGTGGCACGACTGAATCGGAACTCTCCAGTGAACTCTTGAGAACCCCAAACTCTACCAAGTGTGGGCACCTCTCCTTCAGACAGTTCATCCGTAAGAAGAAGCCATGGCCCGCCGGCGATTATGAAATGAGATGAGGCCAGGTCATGCACTGCACGTGGCCGCTACGCCAGCCTTCTCTCGAGCAGTTCCTGCCAGCTGCCAGCCAGAACTCTGCTCACCTCTCTGATTCTGGAACGCAACTTCATCAACTAAGGCCAGTGCTCAGCAGTCTGAAGATCTAGCCTGTCTCTTGCTCCCAATGTTACCACTGAGAACTTGGGTGTCCCGTGTTCCTTTATAGGTGATCTTGTGTCTCTTCAGCTGCTCTTCAGCTCTTCCTTTTGTCTCCTGTGTTCTCCAATTTCATTATGTTGTGTCTAAGGACAGATTTTTTTCTTAACTTTTAAAATTACCTTCTGCTGCAAGGGGCGCATTTCTGGTCATTTGTGTCCTTTTTATATTATAAAAGGCCTGCGGCCCTAACGCTGAAATGACCAAAGACCTGCATGGGTGGGCAGGGCTGCGAGTGCGGCAGGGTGCACACGGGTGGGTGGGGCGCACAATTTCGTGCACTGGGCTTCTAGTTAAGGTATAATTAATGTATACTTGCCGGGAGCCAGTCCATCCTTGCTGCTTGACACAGTCGCTGCAGGAAAGAAACATCTGCACAGCATATGTTTCAAGGGACCTGGTGTATATAGCATACTGTTCTTAATATGTTTGCTCCCCTTAGCGCTATGTGTTTTAACCAAGGTCACCTCTCCAAGAAAGGTTGTTTCCCCAGGTAGGGATTTTTCCCTGAAGTTAGGGAGGGGATAAAACCCCTTAACTCAGTGCCAGGCGGGTAGTTAATCACTTTAACTATGAACAATCACGCTTAAATCTTTACTCCCTGGAATGGAGATAAGAAACCTCCTAACCTTTGGAATAGAGATTGATAGGATTGGAATCAACTGGTATAAATACAGATGTAACAAGACAACAGGAGACAGAACCTAGACACAGAACCTGTCTCTAGGTTCCTGGACAGAAACTGGCAATAGAACCTAGAGACAGAACCTAGCAAGAGAACCTGGCTACAGAACCTGGATAGAACATGGCAAGAGAACCTGACTAGAACCTGGGACTGAATCTGGCTGGAGAACCTAGCAAGAGAACATGGACACAGAACCTGGCTGGAGATCCAAACCAGAACTTCGCTGGAGATCCTGGCTAGGCTGCTGATCAACTGAACGCTGTCTCTGTGTCATTCCTTCTTTGCCGACTCCGTCCACACCTTTGGGGACCCCTGGACCTGCTGGGGTTGGACCCCAGCACCCCCGGATGGCCCAGACTCTCATGGGTGCTCCAGAGCAGCAGATTCCCATCACCTCGCAGCCAGGGGCTTATTCTCTGGAACTCGGCTTTGGGTTCATTTTTGACCTCTAATAGTTATTTACTTTCTTGTCATCTCATCAGTGCATTTAAAATATTATAACTAGGCCCTACCAGGTGGCTCAGGTGGTTGGAGGGTCATTCCGCACAATGAAAGGTTGTGGGTTCAATTCATATCAGGGCACATACCCAGGTTGCAGGTTCGATCCCGGTCGGGGTGTGTATGTGAGGCAACCAATCAGTTTCTTTCTCACATTAATGTTTCTCTCTCCCTTCCTCTCGCTCTAAAACCAATAAAAGCATATCCCTGGGTGAGGATTAAAGAAAAAAAGGCAGCTGGCATTTAAGCCCGCACCAGCATGTTAGGCCGTGCCATTCTGAAAGCGCCTGGTCTCCAAACAATTACTTTCAGTGGAAAGATGGTGCAGGTGTTAGTCTAACTGTGGCATCGGAAGATCTGAAAGCTAAGGGGTTTCTTCACACAGATCTCCGCGAGCCACGCCCTTGGACGACCTACCTGGGTGACGCCTCCGAGAGCTGGCCCTGCAGCAGATTCAATTTTTGGACGTGACGTCTACAGTCCGCACCAGAGCCCTCACCATAAGCCTGAGGAACAAACAAACAAAAACATTAATTTTAAAAAGTGCCGACAGGACTGAGATGCACCTTAGGGGAAGCTGTACCCGCACAGGCCTGAAGCACCGTGCCGACATCAGCGACCCACTGCTTACTCTGGAATTTGACTTTCGCTTTATTTTTGACCTCCGATAGTTATTTACTTTCTTGTTGTCTCATCAGTGCATTTAAAATACTGTAGCTGGGCCCTGGAGTGGTTTACAAACCCACAGTCTCAGGCGGCAGTTTCAGTCTATGTGGCTGCCCACTAGTACCCCAAGCTCTACACAGCCAAACTGCACTCAATCCCAAACCCCACACAAAACGGTTAATGAACGTAAGAGCTTCAGAAGAGAAGTTACACAAATTGCCAATAAACGTGAAATGATACCCCTCACTGAGAATCAAAGGCATACCAATGAAATGATACTTCTTTTTCATTTAGCAGCCACTCACTTGTTCAATACATGTTTACTGAACACCTTTCATGTGCAAAGACATCGATGGACCTAGAGCAGCGGTCCTCAAACTTTGTAAACAGGGGGCCAGTTCACTGTCCCTCAGACCGTTGGAGGACCGGACTATAGTTTTAAAAAAACCTATGAACAATTCCTATGCACACTGCACATATCTTATTTTGAAGTAAAAAAACAAAACGGGAACAAATACAATATTTGTATTTGCATGTGGCCCGCGGGCCGTAGTTTGAGGACCCCTGACCTAGAGGATGCTATGCTCAGTGAAATGGGTCAGGTCAGACAGAGAAAGACAAATATATGTGAGTTCACTTTTATGTCAAATTGAAGAAAACAAAATAAATGAACAAACAAAACAGAAACAAACTCATAGACACAGAGAACAAACCGATGGTTGCCAGGTGGGAGGGGGTTTTGAGGGAGGGGTGGAAACGGTGAAGGGATTAAGTACAAATTGGTAGTTACAAACCAGTCACGGGGATGTACAGTCCAGTCCAGTCAATAATATTGTAATAACCCTGTGTGATGCCAGGTGGGCACTAGACTTACTAGGGGGGATCAACTTGTGAGGTATGTCTAACCACTATGTTGTACACCTGAAATTAACATGATATTAAATATCAACTGTAACTTAAAAAAAAGAAATAATAAATAATAAATTTTAAAAAGAGATGGGGATGACTGTGGGGAAAGCAGGCTGTGGTGAGGTGCAGAAGCTGGGCGACGGGAAAACTAGCAGAGGATGGAAAGAAACAGCCAGGAAAACAGGAAAGCCAGGAGCAAGATGACGAGAACCCAAGTGAAGACAATGTTTCCCGGAGGAGGAAGTGACAAACTGTGACAGATGCCACCACCGAGTGGGGCAAGTTGAGGACTGAGCACCACCCACTGTCCTTAGCAACATGGAGATCACTGCTGACTGTGACGGACTGGTCCACAGTGAAATCCCTTTTGGCCCAAGTTCAAGTGGGAACGAAAAGAGAGAACTGGAGGGGGAATGGCAAATTTTAAAAAGTATGTAACCAACATCTGGCAAAACCAGTGCTGCGTTTGCTCTCCTGAACGGCAGAGACCCCTGGCTGGACGCTAAAACGCATTTTCCTCTGATCTAGGCACAGACTGGACGCCCTGTCCCAGTCTTCCCTGCAGGCAGGCGTGGCCCTGACACTAGGTTCTTTCCGGTGGGACGTGAGCCCTCCCACGCCGGCCCCTGAAAGCCTGCAGGTAGTAGCTCCTCCAGGCTCCTGCCCCTTTCAGGGGCTCAGGCAGCAGGCGGCAAGCCTCAGGGAACCACAGAACCTCAAAACAGCAGAAGCCCGCGTCCCTGAATGCAATGCCAAGGACAGTGGCCCTGCTGACCTCAACCCCTCCAAAGAGAAAGAGGAACGTCTACTGCGTTTAACCACAATTTTGGCGTCTGTTACTGTGGCCTAGCCAACAAGTCAGACACCACCTCATGTGCATGGAGATGGTGCGAGGACTGCAGAGCCTCCTCAGGGAGAACTCGGAAACACAAGCCGACACCACTAACTTTGGCACCACTAACTGTCCTGCATTCATTCTCACTAAGCCCCACTGGTCTACCCCAGTCCCGATGCCACTGCTCCAGCCTCAGTGAAAACGAGCAGCAGGCACTCTGCGGGGTCTCTAGCTCCAAGCCAGCCCCGTCTTCTGAGACCATTCAGAGTGGGCTCAGCAGCTACCCCACCCCCGCCCCCTTCCCTAGCTGACCGGCCCAGAGGCGGACATCGGAGTCCACAGCACCAATCAGATAATTGGGACTCAGCTATTCCAGCAGGCTGGAGCGGAGGGTGTACTGTGAACTGTCTGGGGAGAGGGAGGGAGGGAAGGAGAGAAGGCAGGGAGAAGGGAGAAAAGATGATGCCTGCGTTTCAGCAGCTTTTCAATTCTTGGAACCGGTTCCTCAAAGGGTCAAGGATGAAGTGCCTTCCAAGTGTTTTGTTTCCTTCTTTCCTTCTTTCCTTCCTTCCTTCCTTCCTTCCTTCCTCCCTCCTCCTTCCCTTCCTGTCCTCCCCTTCTTTCTTTTTCTTT